GGAGTATCCAGAAACATAAGTGTGAATTATCATCATCATGAACATGATGTAGCCTTAATAGATGCAACACTGGTAAAGAGACTTAAAATAAATATACAAGAGCTACTCTGAATCCCTAAGATCAGCATGGACTGCTGTTAAAAAGCTTTGCATCCACACTTTTCCAGGCTTGAGACTTGAGCTGCTTGACAGATTTAGTGATTCTAAGTGATCTTGGCTACAATCGCCTGTCAGAGAGCCGGAGATTTTGGCTGAACAATTAAGTCAAATCTACTCTCTCTCGCTTGTCTTAACCGAAATGCTGAAAACAGACATAGAAATAATGGACAGATTATTCTCCACTTCTGTAACCTCAGTTGCTCAACAGTGGTTTTATTTAACTCTTGTAGTTAATTTTCCTGAAGGCTTGCATCCCTTTTCTTGATATAACTAAGCACAAAATAAACATCAAATGCCAACAGGTGCTACTTAATTTCTCACATTCAGAGAGAGCCAAACAGCATTATATGAAGCTGAAGCTGTTCCCGAGACAAAGGTAGCATTTCAGGCCTGCTACAGCAACCAAAAATGATAAATCTCTCAATTTCTCATGGCTTGCAGATATTTCTGTGGGATCCAAATTGCTAATGCCAGGTAAAAGTGTTTTAGAAAAATAACATCTGAACTGGCATATTTAAACATGGTATTTTCCAAATGGCAACAATGTTCCATTTCAGATGTGTGTGTCAAGTATTCAGGTCTGCTGCCAAGGGCAACCTCAGAACATTACTGATGTTAATACTGTCAGAGAAGAAATTAAAGCTATTTTTTAAATGAGATGTAATTGTTTCACCATGCTCCTTCTCACAAAGAGGACGCATGTTTTCGTTTATTTGACATACATTTCCTGTTCTATATGAATAATCAGAATTGCTTTTCATGGTTACAAAACATTAAAGAAAAAAGTAATAGGTTTATTCCATGCCGAAAAAAAAGAAGAAAGAAAACACGTTTCAGCCGTGGAGCGTTGGAAGTTTTCTACAGAAACGTTGGAAAAGAATGTTTACAAGTGGTTAGCTGTAATTATATAAAATACAGCAAAGAATCACACCAATTTTGACTGCCTTACTATCTGCTGATTAGAAGTTGTAAAAGAATCAGAGGGCATTTCCTTGTTGTAGCTAGTCGGCTCCTAGGAGACAGTGACAACATCAATCATTGATCTGTGGCTCAAACTCCCAGCTCAGCAGTTGCTAGAACTGGGAAGCAGGAAGTAACACACCTATGAAACAGGTGTGTTTCACACATGGAAAAGACGCCCATGCACACCGCTTCACTGGACAGGTGTAACCACTTTCTTCTGTTCAGAAAAGAGTCTTGGAGCTCAGACTACCCGACATCTTTGTAAAGAAGTTCTGGAATGTTATTAACAGGGTGCAGAGCACACGCCCTGGAAACGTATTTGCAGTGAAACACGTTGATCCACAAAGTTTCTGTTGTGTGTTCCAACAGCGACGGTACCACACTGTAGCTTGATGTCATGCGATTTTAGAAGCAGGGCAAAGGCTGGACCTGGTCAGTACTGGGAGTCCAAGTTAAACCAGGTTCCTACTGTAAGTCACGCTGGTGGACTAGTGGGGGGCAGTGTTACCTCTGAGCCATAATCTATAAACCAACGCCGCAGTGCTGGGTGGTGGGACGAGGGGTCATCCAATAGATAGAAGTTATTATGTAATAATGTCAAACTAAGGCCCCGACTACTTGAACATTAAAAATCCCATGACACCGCTTGTAAAGGCAGGGGGGTGCTGGTGTTAAACCCAGTGTCCTGACTAAATTCCACTCGGTGCTTGTACAACCTGGCCTCCTTAAAATCCCCTCTTAGTTCAACTAGTGAAGCAGTTCTGCACCTGGTCAAACTGATAGGCTGTGTGACGGGGCTGTAGGGCTGCAGAATGGCTGCTGCATGTCATCCGGGCCAGTGCTGCACTTCAGCGGGCCCCCAGTTTAGGAAGCCTCGATAAAGAGTGCTAGGGTACATCAATTATTAATGACGCTGGATGAGACAAGCACGCTATACAAGCCATTCACTATAAATGGCATTTTACAGTGCTTGGTCAAGTGCCTAACTCTGGGCATGAGCAGAAAAAACAGATTCCTTGTTAAACTCCCCCTCTAAAACACTAGGAGCTATACAGAATGTATATTCCTCAAAAAACTTGGCCTCCACCAGAATCCCTGAATTTCGACATATCCTTCCACACACAGGCCGCATAACTCCAAAAACCATGTTACTCATGAAGTTCTCAGTTTTAATGGTTAATGGATGCCCACAAGGCAGTGGCAACCTGCAGCTAATTTGAAATAACGGAGCGTTTTCATGCTTTCCAGGTCTCTAGGTCTGTCTTCTCATTTCACTATAAAAGCAATATTTTTTCCCTCTCGCATGCAACTCATACCACAACAGAAAGCTGACAGCATTAAAAACTTTGATTCTATTTGCCTTTCAGGGCTTGAGGCCTCGAGTGGAAATTTAGGTTTAAATACAAAACAAAAGACAAATCCACCACTTCATATCATCTCTGTCACCATCCTTATTGGCAGTAAGTCAATACGATCAACTTAGCCAAGTGTACCAGAGCACCCCCCCAGAGACTCTGCTCAAAGCGACTAACTCCTACTGGACATGACGGCTCCGATGCACGTTGTGTTAGTTTCTCAGGCTGGAAACCGCAGCTTTGGGGGTGACAGGCCCGTTTGTCGGCCTCTGCGAACGCGCTGGAGCTGCCTGACATCCGATGCCGTCACAGTAAGGGGAGCCCTGGACGGCTCATAGCTCTCCTAGCTCAGCAAGGAAACCTGATCCCTTCCCTGGTCCCCTGGACAGGCGTGGGCCTTACGGCAGGGAGGCAGCTGCAGGCCGGGCTGCCATGCTGCTGCTGCTGCCCCATCGCAGGGTCAAGCTTGCCAACATGTACCCTGACAGCAGGTCAGACAGCCCCAGAGCAGAGCAGGATGTGAGCCTAGCCCACACAACCAACAGCTCCCTGACAGAAACCGGAGTCAAAATGATACCACCACCTGACTCCCTTTTATTTAAATGCTGAATTTTTCTGACGTTTTGTGGTGATGTGCCCGGACGACCTGGAATCGAAGAAACAAAGTGCCCCCCCCCACCCTCTTCTCTCCCGACCCCCTAGACGAAGAGCGGAGAAGAAGAAAGGGGTTCGCAGACGAGAACCCCCCCCTCCCCCACTGGGACTCACCGGACACGTTGATCGATGTCCCCGCGTCAATCACGCCACTGTTCGGCCGGACGCAGTACCGGCGCGGCGCGGTCGTCTTCACTTTGAAGCACACATTCCTGTCTGTAGGGTTGGAGAGCTTCAGGGTGGTCGTGACGACATCTGTGAAGGGACCTGAGGGTGGTGACGGCAGAGGAAATTTAGCATGGGCGACTCCTGGCCCTTGCCTTCTCTCAAGTCAGTAAACACGTAAAAAGTCAAAGCAAATTCACGGTAAAAAAAAATAACATTTATAGCCACGTTTGACAAAAAAAGAACAAAGAAAACCAAAAGGTTTATGAAACTGCCCATGACATCAAGAACCAGAATGAGCATGAAACTAATGTAAACTACTGTGAAGGATTAAGTAATTAATTGGATGTTTTTGGATTAACACATCAAAAGCAATAAAGAATAAAGATCTATCTTTAGTCATATAATGTGACATGAAAGGAGGGTTCAGTTCAATACCCACTGCTGTGTAATGACTGTGCTTTACTGAAAATCCATGGCAGGAAGAAAAACTAGAAAGCCAAGACACTAGGTCCCAGCGGAGTAAAAAAAAAAAGTTGTTGAAGGGGCGGCATTTACCCTTTTCTTCCCCATCACCCTTGCTTGAGCCGCTCGGAAAGCTCACAGTTCCAGCGAGGCTTACAGGGGTGGGCAGCTGTGCTGTGAACCCCAGCTGCACAAGCACAGCCTGACACACGAGTTAACAGGCTCTGAGAAAATGGCGCCCCTGACCCTTCGCGCAGAGGCACGGACGTGCCCCGGGCGCCCGCGCCGCAGACACGCCTACCTGCCACTTCTTCCACATCCTGCTCATTAAATATTACCTTTCAATTAATGTGAGGAGGGGAGGTGGGGTCTAACGAACCCACAAAAAGACAAAGGAGTGCATAAGCACCATTCTCTGCCTGCAGGTTTCCAACATCCTCACACCGGCTGCAGCAGGAAGACCTGATATCGTCCGTGCAGCGTTCACTGAAATCTAGGAGATGTTGCATTTTGTGTTGTTCCAGAGCTACATGCCCATGTCAGCCTTCTTGTAAATCTAACACATGAAGAAACATGGCACTGCGTTCACACATCACAGCCCCTGCGATGGCACAAGTCCTGCTGTCTGAACCTGACAACCCAAAACACCACAGCTTGAACATAGAAGATGCAGCAACTGGGATTCAAGCATGAAATATGTGGATCTGAATCCGCTACACCCCAGATAACCAGCCTGAAAGCTTTGTTTCTGATTTGCTTTGCACAAAAGAGGAAAATATAGGCAGGCTAAAAAAAAACCTAAAAAGCAAGGTCCCAAAGAAAACAAAAGAAGGATTTTGTTTCAGATGTCTAGGCATGGTGTTTATTAAACACAATGAAGGACAGGTCTCGTGGTTTGTAAGCTTTTGTAGGTAGTGACACATCCTAAGCTCACACAGCTGGTGATACTCGCATAGACTCCCCAGAGCTCTCCCACAGAGGGCCTGCAAGCTCATTTAAATTATTGAAGAACTCAGTTACACAAAACCTTCAGGCAGGATGAAGTCAACCACCTGACGAGGCTTCAGGTGCCCCATGTGCAAACAGCTGTGCTCACGGGAGCCATAGAGACCAAAGCTTCCAAGGAAAACCGTTGCATCAAACAACGCAGAATGAAACGCAACACACAAATAGAACACAACTGCCATGTTGCAGAACGACAGCAATAACTGTGTACATACCTTGAATTCAGACACTTCTCACAACTAACGTACAGACTAGAAGGGAAAAAAGGCTCACGATTTCTTATTTTTATATTTTATTACACATGAAATGGGAACCCGACTACCCATTGATTTCACAGCCTGTAAGACTGTTCCGGACTGTTGTGGCAGCCACCAGTCCAGATCTGAAAACATTCCAGTCGGGCACATCCGCCCGTTTGAATAAAACAGGCCGGTGGAGCTAATTAGGGTACAGCTCGTTAGAAAGCATGCTCCCTGCTGTCGGCAATTCAGACACCTCTATCCAATCAATACCACGAGCAATGCATTAATCAATAGCACCGCCGGGCGAAGAGGAGAAGCGAGCAGGAAGGGACGGAAAACAAAGACCGCGTGAGGGCTGATGAGATGCTGGACAGCCGCAGCAGGGCTCGGGGAATGCTCTCCCTGGATATCCACACGTGGGCCACCTGCCCCACGTTAACCTTTCAAAGACACCACGTCTATTTTATTTACTGCTCTTGCAATAACTCTGGCTTCTTTTTTCACCTTGTTATCGTTGACAGCTTCAATCGAGATTATTAACTGGATTGAATAAATAGCTGGAAGACATCCCTGGGTTTGGTGAACAGACATATTTTAGCTTTAAGGGACTTCCGGAAGCGGGTTCTTCATCTGAAAGGTTCAGAGTGGTGCCCAGGAATCATTCAGCTGATCACAGTAAGAATTCCTTGGGGTATCCCTTAGAGTCTGTTCGTAAAGATAAGCGAGTTCACAAGGACCAGAAAGATCCTGTTGCTGTAGTTAAAAGCAGTACTGCAAGATTCATACCAAAAACCACACATTTACAAGAAAGGAAAAGAAACAGGAAAGCTTCTGACTGTTTCTTTGGCTCTTGTGCACCTGAATTAGTGAAATGATGGACAGGGCCAAAGGCAGGAACTCACCTGGATGGCAGTGAGTGGTGTTAAGAAGTGTGAGTGAGACTGCGTACCCCAAAATGCCACACTAGCATCAAAGGGCTTTTCTTGTATTTGCACAGCTTAACTTTATTACTTAAAAACTCCTTGGAACACCCTGAACCACTGGAAGCACCAAAGACATTTTTCTAGATTCCCACCTAATTACATTTAATTGTCTGCAAAATATTTCCGATAAAAGCTGTCCTTGAAAACAAGGCAGATCTTTCAAGTGGCTCTCTGGAGGAAATTCTATGGAGCTCTCTCGGGAGAGAGTTCACCAATGCAGGGCCTGTGCCAAATATTAGCAGCGCAGTTCCATTCAGGAAAAAATGCTCTGACCTGGACTGGCTAATCGCTGGAGGAGCTCTCATCTCCACTATGTCAACAGAAGAAGAAAACCACAAGAAACTGCTTGGCAACAGCCTTGAAAAATAGCCCCCAAAAGTTTTCAGTCGCACAAAAGAAAACCACAAAAAGAAGCCTGTCTGAAGGACACAGATGATAAATCAATGACTCAGAATGGAGGGAAAAAAAAAGATTTAGGAGCTGGATGGTAAACTATCTTTCCATTTTTAGATCAGAAGGGGCTGAAAGTATTCTCTGCCGAAGGGTGAGAGCAGTAGCCACCCCACAGGGCAAAGGGCACTAAAAACAGGGAGCAGAGAGAGCCGTGCTGGCAAGATCAGAAAGTGGGCGCAGTGCAACAGAGCAGTATAAACGGGTTTCAACACCAACATTCGGCATTCCTCCTTTATTCAGACACGAACGCTAACTTCTGCCAAAAACCTAGGAAGGTCGGACAAAAAATTGATTTTATTTTTTTACAGTTGTGTTACAATTAATTGTGATGAGTCCCAGAGGGACTCAATCGTCTAAAAAAAAAAAAAGTTCACCGTCACCGAGCCACACAGTTGTGAGAAAAATAAATGCAGATCTGAATGGATTAAGATAAAGGTTTATTTGCTTTGGAGGCTGAAGCTTAATGCGATATATAAAATGCTGCAGGCCTACACTCTAAAACACAGTCTTACAAAGCCACGCAGACAAAATAAAATACCCACGGTCTGACACACGCAAGCAGGCAGCGACTGAGGGGGCACTTCTTGACCCAGAGGCTGATGGGAGTGCAGAACAAGCTGCCCACCCACCCAAGCGTGCCATTAAAGATGACACCCCAGGCTCTTCCAAGAAATGGCTGGGTGACCTGACTGGTTCTGGTCTCATTTGTAAGCGCTATTATTTTCATGTCACACGATGATCGGATGGCCCGAAGCAGCAGAAGGGAGGTCAGCAAGACGGCATCTTACCATGAAATTTAGAGGTCCAAGTTTTTATTTTTCCCCGGGAAGATCCAGGTTTTTACACGGTGTGTGTCTGTATATGGAAGAGCACACCTGTACAGCAACACATTTTTACCTTCAAGGAATTATATACCATCACATCCGCAGCGGGTCCAGGGTGCAAGTGAGGCCACCAGACATTCCCAGCTAGTGGACTGTCCAGAGGCTGCGACATGGGCCCAGTCACTCAGGACTCCCCGGGATGACACAGTCTGTCCACTAGCCACCTCCCTTTGCGTTCTGACAGGGCTGTTGACCCAGCTCACGCCAAGACATCCTGGCCTCTGCCACTGTATGGGCTGGTCACCACCGAGCACGTGTGGGACATCCTATTCACTGCCCTGGGCAAAACCACACCGCTAATTCCTCTCCAGTGTCCAGAGTGGGTTGTAATCCCACCAGCCAGGAGTGAGGATCTGATCCACAAGCTGTACCAGCACATTGCTGGCTTTAAAAAGAGGGATAAACTTACACCAAGAAGAAGTTTATTTACATATGACAGTCACCATTTCAATCTCTGCACAGGAGCGTCTGCACGACTGCATCTCTGCAAGTACGCTTGACTGTTGTACGTGCTAAACACCCATCTAAATGCACACAGAGCTGGACTGACATGCTGATCCCTCATAACGTAAGGCTCAGAAGGCTGGTTGTTGTGGCCTAGCCTCTACAGATGACCGCTCCTTTTCGCACAAGCCGGCCGGCTGGCCGGCCGCCCGTCGCAAAACAAGAAAACGCAAACGCCCCCCCCCTCAAAAAAAGAAAGAAATCAAACCCACAAACGAGATCAAGCGCTGGAGGGAGGCGGCCTGTACACCGTGTGCAAGAGCCGAGCCGAGCCGGCGGCGCTGCAGCACAGACGGCCGCTTCCCCGGAGACGGGCCGCCGGGCGACAAGGAAGCAGAGGCGCTTGTGATCCTGCTGCAAGACGGTGGGGGGCTGGGGGGGTTCAGGGCAGAGTCATGACCCTAGTCAACCTCTCCGAAAGGGGGGGGGGGGACACATACACACACAGCGCCAGATACGACTTCCCTGCCGTGTCCTAACGCCTAGGCCGCGGGACCAAACAGGGTACGCCGAAGGGGAGACGGGGAAGGAAACGCGGGGGGCCTCTGCACAGCCCTGCCTTCCGCGCCGGCGAAAGGCTGCCCGGCGGCACGGCTCCATCTGCGTCTTCCCCGGCGACCGAAGGGCCCACACCAGCCCGCTATGCGCGCCGCCCACCCCCCTTATCTCCTCAACATGGCCGCCGCCTTCAGAGGAGCCCACCGCACACACCGTCGGCTGGAGACAAGACGGGCGGGCGGGCGGCTCTGCTCGGGCCCGCCTCTCCTCCTCCTTACCTCGGAATTTCAGTTCGTGCTGCGGCTCTAGAAGGAGGACCTGCTCTTGCCTGGCCATGTCCCGGCGGTTCGGAGCGGTTCGGCGGGCTGTCGGTCCGGGAGCGAGGGGGGTGAACGGTCGCTCGGTTGCGGGGAGCGCGGCTCGAGCTGCTAGCGGCAGTGATGATGCAGCAGGAAGGAGGTGAGAGAGAGGCTGCCGGTGACGTCACGGCCCCTGCATTACCCAGTCGGCAGGAGGAGGGGGGCTCCAACTGGCCCCGGGTGCAAGGTGTGTCTCTCTCTCTCTTCCCCCACCTAGGCTACAGCACTGAATAACCGATTCAAAAAATAATGACCAAAAAATATATATATTTTGCATCGGGGGCCCATTGTACAGCTTCAGGGTTAAGAACAGTGTTAACAGCGCACCTGAGCCGCTCCTGTGTTAAGTTGCATGAGCTTCAGGAGTGTTTTACCCATCTTGAGGGAGTGCAGAGATGGTTCGATCCGTTTCGGGTTCCTTTGTTTTTGTTTTGTTTTTCCCCCACGAGCTCCCGTTGCACACGTTTTACCGATGCAAAAGAAAAGTACGGGGGTCAGTTTCAGCTGTGCTGTAGCGCAGGGTCCGCGTCGCTCCGCCGGTGGGCGTGGTGCCAGTCTGAAGGGGTGGAAGGTCAGGGCGGCGGGACTCTGGCCTGCTCAGCACAATTCAAAGGGCAGCGTTGAGCGGGGAGGCACATACCTCCAGTACGACATATATAGAGATGGAAGCTGCTGGCTCTCAATCTCACTGATGTCACCGTAACTTTATCCTCCTGCTGCCAGCGAGTAATCGCAGCTCCCCCAGCGGGGGGACATTCCGCAGAAAGATCCCCTGGCCGTCATGTGGAAGAGTTAGGATAAAACATCGACATTTTCAGATCAATTACTTGCATGCCTTCTAACCTCTTGGGATTGGGATTTAAAAACTTTAATGCGACGATGGATTTGGACTCATATGGTGATTTTATCAAGTTTTTGTACAGGTATAAATCAAAACTGTGTATGTGTGGGTTGATTAGGGGTGGGGTATACTGATTGTTCGCACTGGTTTGTAATTGACAGTCATTGTTTTGCTGGGTAAAGATCTCTTTGTACATCTGTACCAAATCCGGATTTTAATCTTTTCACAGGCTTCAACAAAAACTTGATCTGATGACTTTGTGGGAAGCATGGACATCTGGTCAGAGGGTACTAAAAGAAAAAAAATCCAATCTGAAACTTTTTTGCATTGGAACAGATGCCACTGACCAGACGTTGTGTTCTTTAATAAATGTTTTTATTAGTAAACAGCTTGACATTTCCCTTTTGCACATTCAGAAATACATAGTAAAGTGATTTCAAGCATTTTTATTTGTACAATTGATATGAAAATATTAAAGCTCAATATGACAAATTATAGATGGAGTATTTTTTGGGTGGTGCCTTTGCAAACAACTCATGGTAAATAATGATATGACTTAGCTCACCTTCCAAAACTGTATTAGGGTATTCACGTATTTATATATACGTTTGCATGGTATCTACATTAAAACATTATATAATTATAAGGGAATTGCTACACTGTCTCAGGACCAGCCCGAGATAAGGAACTTCAAGAGATTTCTTCAACATTGTTTATGTTTATGACTGACAATCTCCTTCACACAAAAAACACTACATATTGCAAAGCAAAAGCATCACATTTCATGCACAGAAGCTAAGCCAATGCGTTGCTGCGCCTGATACAAGCGGTTAAATATTCTACAGCAGCTACGATATGAAGGCACCAGACCTGTTAGCATCACTACTGCAAACATGAGCGAAGCACACACGCTGTCGTACCACAGTGCTCGAACAACAGTTCACCGATGCAGAGCCGCCTCGCCCTTCCCAAAGGCAACACGGAAAACGGCACATCCAGGCTCAAATTCCAAAAGAATGAAGACTCGGATGTGCATCTTTTATCATTCCTCAACACACTGCACTGTTTTAACACGCTGATGAAAGGTTTGATCCGTAGCGGAAGGAAGCCTTTTGAAAGCAGGTTGGTTCCGATGGCTAAAAGCTGGTGATCACTGAGGCAGGAGCTCTCCACTCCTTCCCAACGCTTAACGATTCCCACACAGCCCCAGCAGAACACACTAGACAGCAGTGCTTTACTGCAAACTTGCTACACCTTACCAACAAAGTAAGCGATGATTCACAGACAACTGGACCAAAAAATAAGGAACTGAGTATCTAAAAAACAGAAGGCTTTGACTTTAAAGCACTTTCCAACACAGCAATATCAAGGGACATCTTTCTGCAGTCAGGCAGAATCACTAACAAACCTTTTAACTAAAGTGGTAACATTTTCACTACAAATGAAGCCTATTTATAACACCAAATTTGTATTCCGCTGAAAAAAAATGTCTCTTTTCCACACCTATATTAAATCTCTTGCTTGCACCTTTAAATTTTTTAAATGTAGCACTTCAGAAAGCTCAGCCGAAAGAAGATAACTGTTCATGGAGCAATTAAAATCATTATAATATTTCGCTCCTCAGTGTGCGTGCCCTGGTGTGACTGAATAAATAACCAGTCTGAAATCCACAAATAATTTAAGCAGAGAAGCATTTTTGACTGAAAGCTGATGTACCGTACAGGGAAGACTGACTCTCACTGGACTAGTTTGTACTTAAATCAGACCTTGCTCTGGGTTTGGATCAAAGTCCTGCTATTGAGCCAGTGTCTTAAAGATGTGGCTCTAATGTGCTGCTGATAAAAAAAAAGCAGCACTCCTTGGAATCCTGCTTGGAGTCAACTGCATTACCTTCGGAGACCTCTCATCTTCACCATGGCTCATTAAAACACATCTCTACACTGCCTCATCAGGAACAATCTGCACTGCTGAGGCGCTCAAAGGTCTACAGGGTGGCAAAGCATGAATGCAAGATATCACTGCACACTCACGACTTTAAAATAAAGCTTTACACAAAATCACAAAGTGCGAAACCAAAAGCCACAGACTGCCGCTCAAAAAGCATAGGTGGCTTATGTCCAGACATTAAAAATGACTTACAGCTTCACTAAAGAGTCCCTTTAAAAAATGGGTTGGTCCATCTGTGTGCAACATGCGAATAAAAAAGTCACATAAAAAAAAACATTTAAACAATCTGAAACTCTACTGGGTAGTTTTCCTTCCTGAAAAGACAGTAGAGGCTGGAGGCACACACTTCTCTTCAGGAGCACAAGGGCCTGTCATCCTGCCTACACATGCTTGTCTGAACCACTGAGCCAAAACATGAGCTCCTTTCTGGTTTCTGCCTGTAAATAAAATAAAATTGCATTGACAAAAAAGAAGAAGTTGAAGCAGTGTCTAACATCAGCTCCACACGAGGTATGGCTACTGCGCTTCAATGCAGTTTCAGTTTCTGTGAGAAATGTATACAGGTGGAAACAGTGGTGGTTTGGGTTGCTTTAGTGTTAAAATTAATAACCTGATTACTACGTCAGATCCAATTGATAACATTTCCCGTTCAAACAGCATTCGGCATCTAAGGAAATGCATTATATTGAAAATCGATAGATATTCAATTACTCTCCCTTTGCTCTCATTAACAGAGCAACAACAACAATAAAAGCCATTCAGCAAAAGTAGGCCAGAAGAAAAGATCAAACAGCTCAGCTGAAAGGTGGAGGTCAGATGGAGGTCATACTTTGCCAGACTGCATTGTTGACCAAAGATGCATGATTTAAGGCAAGAATGACTCCACCACTGAAAAACATGTGAGCGTTTTTGTGGATCAATTCTTTAATTTCCACTTTCCAAGTAAAAGCTGTCCTCTGTCCCCACTTGCTGCAGAGCAACAATAACATCTCTTAAAACTAACCTTGCTTGAGAAATGCCCAAAAGACATTTCTTTTATCCTATTTAAGTGATTACAAAACCAATTAAGAAGCACCACACCGCATCATAAACAAGATCATTGTGTTACAGGGCTCTTGCGCTTGTATTTTCTTATTTTGAATGGGTTTTTTTTTTGCTGAAAAGATGAAAATCCAGTTTTGCTGCAGAGCTTCTCACAGATATGGAGGGTTATAAATGCAGGGCTTTTTCCGTTAATATTCTCTAGCATGTCCTAATCTGTAATAATCAAAAGCTTGTTTCACAAGAAAACAGTGCAATAGCTCAGTGCTAAACTTCATCAAACAGCCATTGGCCTAGGTATGAAAACCACCTCAACAACAACAAAGCGAAAGGCATCTCCTTAGGGATAAGAGCTCCGGCACTTGGATACAGGGAACACTACAGGAAGAGCTGTAGGAAGAGCTGGGATAGACACGCCACTGGTTTAAAAAAAGTAACCAGCTCACAGGCGTAACTTCAACTTTTGTTATCCAGCCACCTTTCCATTTATTCACGCAGAACTGGAGGGGGCAACAGGCAGGCGTCCCTGCGGGCTCAGAAACTTGCTTAAAAAGGCTTTCAAGTGATATGAACAGTGTGCTGCATGTTAAGGTATAGGTATGACTGTAAAACAAATTAAGGTATGGTATTAAAACTATTTTTTCATCAATGTTTTAGCCTGCGAAGGACTGGCGTCCCATTCAGGCTGTCCCCTGCCTTGTAGCCGCTGCTTGCTGGGATAGACTCCGGCTCCCCTGCAGCCCTCACTTGGACGAAAAGGTTAGAAAACGGACGGATGGACAGGTCATTTGTAACCACAGGTGTACCAGAAAAAAGGGCGGAATTCATATTGCAGGAGCCTCTGAAACCTCCTAACAGCAGGAGAAAGCGTGGGTGCAGCAGGTGATTTGAAAAACTGGCTGGATTCTTCCCGAAACTTTTCTACTTTCCAGATACCGTACTTTGCTTTTCATCCCCGTCCAGCTCGTAAAATCAGTTTGGAGCTGGAGGGGAACTGACTTATTCTGTAAAAGAATAAGAAAGAGGTTTATAGGACAATTAAGGGACCAGCAGAAGCCCTCTAAACGCATTTCTCCTGTTTGAGGTGAACAACAAAAAACCCCGCGAGGGGCCAGAGAGGACCTCTGCCAGGGAACGCCACGCAGCTGAAACAGGCTTTTTAAAAACATTAGCATGACTGACACAACGTAAAACGGGTTGGCTGCTGACTGGCTGGACCGCAGCCGGGTAATCCGTTCGCAGAATTCCAAAGCCTGGCTCGTTTGCCGACTAGTAAAACCGAAATGAGGAAAACATTCCAACCGCTGGAACAGAACCTGTGTCGCACACATGGCCGCCACCAGTCTCCTCTGCCGCCTTACGAGCTCGGCTCTGGCAGCCAGACCGCTGCTCCACGGTCATCAGTTCCAGTTCTGGTTTCCCTTAAAAGAAGACAAACTCAAGATGTTTCCAAAGTGTCCTTGTAAGTACATCACACAAAAACACCAGCCAACTGTACGGAAACCTTTTCAGTTGTTGCGACAGCAGAATAAATGTGCCTACTGACCTAAAACAGCCATGTGTCAGCTTGAAATCCTGGTTCCTCCTTGACGTGGGTGTGCTCCTCTCATGATCAGTTCTCATTGGAGCTCAGAAAGGTCGCAAATGAGAGCAGGCCATTCAGCTCGTCTACACCCAGCTCGTTTGGGTACTTCTAGCTAATTATGTTGAATTTGGTTCAGTGAAGGTTCAGAGATAAACTCTGTGGCGAAAGCAATCGAGTCCAGTGAGACACGCCATGCCTGGCAGGCCAGTGGCCCAGTGAGCACGAGTGAGCATGACTGTGAGCAGGGAACAGCGTGAGAGAGACAGGCCGACTGGTGGGAGCAGTGAGCCCTTCCTATTGGCCTGTTCCCAATCCGGTCACTTAATCCAGCAGAGCCTCATGAAGAGGCGGGTCCTGGGGGCAGGGAGACCAGCAGACAGGAGTTGTAAATACAGAGGTTAAGTCTTATTAGCCGTTCCCATTTTTAAAAAAAATCTCTTTTGTCCCGAACACATGGAGAGACCCGGCCTGCCCACGAGCCATTGGGCCACCAAGCTGACAACAAGAGGGAATATTGGACGGCCACACCAAAACACAAAAGAAACAGACGATCCGGTCACACCCCGGCCTTTCCATGTTTGAACTTTTCCCCGCCCCACCCCGGCTCCCCTTGACAGTACACAATTATAAACTAATTCCCTTCTCAGTGGGAATTCCATCTTCCAGTCCTTCACAATTCAGTGCTGAAGTCCACCCCCTGCCTCATGGCTCAACCAGTATTTCCAGGGAAGTTCTTCTGCTGTAACCACGGGTGATGCAAGCCACGCCCCCAGTGACATCACGTCAGCCGCCTGCTACACCATGAGGGCACTCAGCTGCTACACTGCCACGCCCCCACTCCCAGCTTCCTGCCTGCACCCTTGCAGAGCACGGCACGCTTCTGAGGGCGGGAGGTGGGCGGGTCAGTCAGAGGATTTTTTTAATTAGCCATTAAATTAGTCTCTTTTCCCCAAAAGTACTTTGCCATACCGTGACACTTGCATGCAGGAGCAATTCATGCAGGCCTAATTACAGCTTCTTGTGGAAAAGAAACCCAGAAGATTTACAGGTGGAAAATTAAAAGGGGAAGGGAGTTTTGGCACAGTTCAATAATCCACAGTCATCTTGCGTTCTTCAAATTAAGCCAGCAGAAGAAAGCAGCACAGCTCATGGAGGAAAAGTGCTTTGGAAACCCGGCCCTTTTCTTGTTGCCAGGCTTTCGTTTTTTTTAGGTTGATTGTTACCGGCGGAGGAAAAAAAAGTCCACATTAGAGTTCCATTTTTTAAACTCTATAAGCACAATAAAATGAGATTTGCGGTTTTACGGGCCAGGAAGGCCTCATTGCTTCCTCGGTCTCTGGAAGGCCCAGTGCGGGCAGGACCACGCGAGCACTCTGGACAGATCTCGGGGGCAGACAGGGGTGAAGGCTGCTGTTTGTCATATCCTGCTCGTGGCTCCAGATGTGAAGTGGTAGGTGGGACAGCAACAGGTAAGGGCTCCCTGCTGCAGGACTACAGTGAAACAGAAACGCACAGGAGTTCCTGTGTCCCTCTGTGCTCTTCACCTCCTGGGCTCGCTTGGCTGAGGCTCGGCTCGTCTGTGCGTAGTGTGGAACCTCTCAATGGACACGCCCTGGGGACACACTCTCCCCCCCGCTCCCCTCCCCCCAGGGGGGCGAATCCCAGGGCCCCTCACTGTATCAGCAGCAACTGCGGCGAGACTCCGACGCCTGCCTCCGAAGTTTAAAGCCTTTCCCGGCTGCCCCCATGCTGGGATCGGTCACAGGGATCCTCTGACCTGAAGAGGATCGGAAGAAAGGATAATTATCAAACAGGCAGTGGCATTAACAAGTACTAGCACATAAGAAGCCAAACCTGAGAGCAGACTCCCTGAAGCCTTTCAGCGGTGAGTAGGCTGCTGTCCTATAAAAGCGTCTTTACTGCCTGTGTTTTTCTAGACCGGAACCCAACCATCCAAACAGGGGAAAGATGAAATACAAGCTCCCCCACTCCCCCGAATTCTCCTTCCGCACTACTACACTGGAATCACCGGGCTCCCCGCCACCCTAGGGATGCTCCAAGGCCTTTCTGAAGCACATCCCAGCTGGTCCTGGGAGGATGGTGAGGACACTGGACAGGCAGCACACGGCTTGGCCAAGCCCCTTGACACCGAGCGCGCCTGGTGATTTAAAAATCTCAACAAAGTGGATCAGAAGAAGATTCACGCTGAGCGTAGCCGTGCACCAAATGCTAAGAGCGAGCATTCATTAGAAGAATCCCACTAATCACTGGGGGCAGACTGGGCAGGGACAGTCCAAGGCTGCAATGACACAAGACAGGCACAGCGTACTGGGTCAAAGCAAGCACCCCGAAGGCTGAGGAGAGGGAGCTCTTGGGATAATGAGGCACTTCGTTTCACTTCAAAAACAGCGTGAGGGTAACTAGATGCTCCAGCTGGCAGCCCGTTAGTAGGGTAACAGATCTGTTCCTCAGCTCGCAGTGTAACGTATACAGGGTGGGTGGGTGTAGGCTTGCCTCTGACAGCCTGCCAGCGCACAGCACAGGGAGTGTAATCTCACTAGCACAGCTGCGGCGCTGCTGGCCTCAGAGGGATTAATTATGAAATAAATAAATAAAAACGAGTATCTAGAGCCTCATCTTCAGTATGATTTTGTTTGCAGGGTTGGCGAGAACAAAATGGGTTTTAATCCCCCTAGGCAGTACTTACTTATCTCTATAAAGAGCTCGTTAATGTTAATGGCGTTTTTGGCACTGGTTTCCACAAAGATGGCATGAATGGAGTCAGCGTAGTCCTTGGCTTCCTTTTCTGGGACTTCTCTGAGAAGAGAGAGTGAAAGACAACAGATGCAGAGAGAGAGAGAGACAAGACCGGCCCGCGGTTTCCCGCCACTCCTCTGCCCGCACCCCACCCCTGCCCCCCTGCCCCCGTCCGGAACCCGGGGCCCGCCTGCTCCCGCCCTCTCCGAGCTCCCAGCTGGAGCGCCTGACGAATCCAAGTGGACGGCAGACCCCGCCCGCCCCAGGGGGGCAGCCGCTACGCCCCACGTGCCCCCCGCCCCCCCAAAACAGGCCTGTGAGAAAGGCAACCCTGACAGGCGAGTAGGGCAGAACAAAGGGAGACGGCGGGCGATCGGCGACAGTCAACACGCTGCGGGTGTAAAGGGGAAAAAAAAAGGAAGGAAATTCTAAACCTCATCAATAATAACTCTGCGCAAAAGCCTAACTACTGATCTATCTGACCTCTGCGTAATATATGCATCAGAAACAGAAAAGGCAAACCGGCAAACTCCTCACTTTTGTTTCCGGAGCCCACGTAGGGACAGTGTAGCCCCAGTGCTTTATTCTCCCCTGAGCGCCCGGTAATGCACGGTGAGGCGCGGCACCCACGGGTCTCCAGACCCCCGATGCTGCGGAACAGCTCGGAGACAGCAGAAGAGATGGGAGGGCACACCGGGGACGAGGAGGTCAGACTGAGACCCCAGAAGAGGAGGGACTGGCCAGGGACCCAGCTGGAGCCCAGCCTGGGGCTCAAGAAGGTCAGCCCCACCCAAGCGGGATCAGAGAATAACTATATGCCAGCTTGCAGCCCACTGTTAGAAGGAAGCCCCTAGCAAGCAGAATTTATTAAGGGCATTTAAGGAGCTGTGGCTTATTCTATGGATGAGGCCAGAAAGTACCCTAAATAACTTTCTGAGCAACTGACAACAGCAGTATATTTAGACAAATGAGTAAGCAGTGGACCCGGAAATACCCCAAGGTGCTTGGTATTCGCCTGAACCCAGCTGGGGTCAGGAGCTGTGGTTCGGGGGCGGAGAGGAAGAGCCTGAAAGAGAAACGGAGGGGGGTTCCTTACCTGGCGTCGGTGAGGTCGCACTTGTTCCCCGCGATGGCCACCACGATGTTCGGGGGGCCGTGCTGCCGGAGCTCCTTCACCCAGTTCTTCAGCGTCTGGAAGGACTCCTGCGGCACAGAAGAGGCCGTCTGGTCACCCGGCCCCGCCCACGGAGAGCGCGCTCGCACCACACGGGAGGGACGCTGGACACCGCCCCAGCGCCGGGTCTGCAGCCGGCTGGCACGCGGGCCCGCACAAAGCTCGGCCCTGCACGTCACGCAAGACGGTCGTGCGGAATTTCACTACATTAAGGGATCTCACGCTTCAGTGTTCGAAAAAACAATCACACAGAAAGAGCCTTGTTTTGCCTTCTGCCCAGTGCTGCAGAAGAAGTGGGTGGGTAGGCCAGGGGTAAACGAAGAGACGGCAATGGGGGAAAAAAAGGCCATAAAAAACTTGCAGGTGTGCATGACATGACGCGTGACACGTGGAAAAAAAAGACCTGGGACTGAGGGGAACTTCGAAAGCGTTACCTCTTTAGTGATGTCATAGACGATGATGGCCGCCGCAGAGCCCCGGTAGTACATTGGCGCCAAGGCTCTGAACTGGGGGGAACAAAGAGAGAGAGGGCCGACATTAGCAACGCGGTACACCGCGGCGCCGGGAGGCGGCCAGAGGGCGGCGCCCATGAGGAAGAGGGGTGCGGACACCAGACGTCACGCCACGTGCCGGACAGCTCAAGGAAGCTCCCCTCGCATCTCGCGGAAAACTTCAACATTCTAAAAAGGCATCGGAAACTCAGCCCAGACCTTTATTTCAGATTCAGCAAAGGAGGCTTAAGACCATGGGGGCATCCAGGGATTTCTGAAGCGGCCCAGTTGTGCTGGGGATGCGGAGGCACAGCAGGGCATGTGAGGCCCAGTCTCAATGGGGCTCTGCAGCCATCAGGCTGCTGACAACCAGATGAGCAAGGTGGGCCAACAAAAACAACCTCCCGGACGCCAAGGACAGAGGATGTGTTAAACCGTCAGTAAGAAAAATAAGACGTCTGTCCAACATATGAGCATCAACCCCCTTCAGCACATCTGAGCTGCATTCAGCAACGAATCCAGACGGAGCCTCTTCCTGAGTGCATAAGACTCCTGCAGCCTCAGTCCCGGCACCGAAAGTGAAGGTAGCAGCAGACAGAGGATACACAAGGAGGAGAGTTGAGGCAATAACATTTCTCTTGAAGGCTCTCCTGAAATAAGCCAGGGGACCAGGCAGCACTTCAGGTGAAGGAGCTGTAAATTAATACTTGGTTAATGCATTATTAAGCACTGATAAAATATCACAGGAGGGATATTAAAAGTGAATACTACAAAAGCCTAAAGAAATCAGCATTTTAAAACTACTTTATAATGTACAGCTTCTTAAAAATCTAGGCTACAGAATATTACTAAAGCACCAATAAAAAAAAATAATAGATTAATAGAAGATTTACAACATTGACAGCTTGAATTCTTATAGCTGTGAACTGGGCATTTTATTAAATTACAGATGCTTTCAGATAAAAACCGTAAGTATTGCTCTAGTTTAAAAAAGAGTTAAAAAGATTGCCCAGAAACAAATCTGCTAAAAAAAAAAGAGTAATTTTTAAAGCAAGGAGAATCTTTTTTGATGAGCAACTCCGACTACCCCTTCCAAAATAAATAAATACACAAAACCGCATTCAACTGTGATGATTGGTGTGATGTTTTATTAGGGAACAACTGAAACCAAAACGCTGCAGCAGGACACAGCTAAGAAAAAGAAATTCTATTAAAAGCCACAAGGAGCTCACTGTTTCTGGTCAGAATGCCAATTACTGTTTCTTTCCCTGTAATAAATTTCACCTTTCAAGCACTCTGGTGGAAGTAGTGTGGGACTGCCTGGGGTACAGCCTGCCTCACATGTGGATCCAATTACGACAGAGAGGAGCGCAAAGTGTCAGACTTGCTTGGAGATGCAGTATTTATGGAACTACAGATATTTAGCTCGGATCCAAGTTTGTGAAAAAGCATTCTGCTCTGTCGCTTTAAAGACGGTACTAAAAACTAGCCTGTGTGTAATTGTCCATGCCCAGAGTGTAAAAATACAGCCCCGAATTACACCAGTTCTTGGAAGATTTTTTTTCTCTTTTCGCTATAATATTTTCCAAAGCTTTCAGCTGGGCTGGCTTTAAAATAGCAACGCAATTAAGTGAATGCCAGGTTTAAGACTCCTAAATCAATTGCACATTTCAAAGATGATTTTTTTCTCCCCCTGCTTTCGATAACGAAGTAAACAATTTCAGCAGTTAAGGTTTCCCCGCGTCAGCACTCTCAGTGCCGTTCTGCCCCGCCTGAGGTCAGAGGTCACAGTGGAGGTGGGGCAGGGCTCTCGATTTGTGTTTCCCGGACCTCCACCGGACAGCCCAGATTTTCCTGTATACGACTGTAAATGCACATTTTCACCTTGCAAGATTCCCTTGGAGAGGAACATGTTAAGTGCTGCATTCTCAAAAATTAATGTAGTGCACTTTTAGTGCAGCATTTCACCCCCCACAACTGTATTACGAAATAAAAAGACAAAGCCCTCATGTTTTCTGACGCTAACTTGAACTGATGGCTTCTAAAAGGGCCTGCCTCTCCGCGAGACTTAAAAATAGTCCCCATCAAGGCAGTCTCAGTTGCATGAAAATGCTTGAAAATATGCATGGGCAAGGCAGCCTCAGTTCCACTCAAATAAACCCATGAGAGGAATCCACGACACCTCGAGCCTCGATGATTCTAAGCATGGAAAACAATTCAGAGAGCAGTGTCCCGTGTCAAGATCTCTGCCCCCCAGAGGCGCTGGACTGAGGGAGTGCGCCCTTCCTGTAGTAAGACCAGATGAGATCTCCACCCTCCTGGTGACTCAGGATGCTCCCAGTGCGGAGCAGGCAGGTAACAGGAAGTTACATTCCGTGTTTCGCCGCGGCCTTGCGGAAGAAGCACACTTAATTCCGATTTGAAAACTATCATTTTGGAGATGCAGGATGGAAAGTATTAAACTTTTTAAAGCTAGCATGTACCTTCTAATGATTTGTGATGCTGGACCTCTAATCTAACAGGTGGGTAGCTGCGTCAGCATGCGTAGGCTGCAGAGGAACAAGTAATAGGTTTATTCCATTCTGAAAAAAAGAAGAAAGAGAACACAACGTTTCGGCCGTGGAGCCTTCTTCAGGTGTGACACGGCTCCACGGCCGAAATGTTGTGTTCTCTTTCTTCTTTTTTTCAGCATGGAATAAACCTATTACTTGTTCCTTTGCAGCTCTAATCTAACAGACTGACAATCACTGTGGTTGTATGAAACCCTGGAAGAGAACACGATCCGATGAGAACGTTTTTGGCAAAACCCAAACAGAAAAAAAAAAATTCTCTCAGCCGAACTCAGGAACACTAGAGCTCCCCTAAGGAACCTTTGGGCTTATTAAGTGTTGACAGAATCATGGAAGCCATCAGAGGAACCTGCCAGGGAACCAGGGCTGCAGAGAGAACAGCCTCTAATTTGCAACAATGGGACACAGCCAGGCAGGGATTGCAGCAAGACCTGTGTGGTCTCCCCAGACTCCCCCTGCTGCCACCCCGCTGGCTCTCCGCGCACACCCACGAGCTGCACCACAACCATCTGGCCCCCGACGAGCTAGAAAAACCTTCCAACCTTTTCAAAAGCGTGCTCAGATGAATTACGGAATTACGAGACTGGCATCTCATGAAAGACCTTCTGTTATTTCAGGAATGTACCGGGAGTCTGGTTCTTCTCTGAAAACGGAGCGAGTGTCTGTTGGGGCTTCCAACACGCTGTAAGGTATGGTACACAGCGCACTGCGCAAGGCAGGGGGAGATAATGTTCCTTCTCCTTATCCCCCTCTGCACCATCCCCTGTTGTGTGTGAGGGGGGTGGTTGTGGCTGGTTGCTCCAGAGCTTTAATCTCATCCCTGCTGGTTTGTTTGCTTTAGCACAGTGCATCTCCTACCTACTTCAAACTATTGTTGTTGTTGATGACGACAGGCACCAGGTCTCAACAGCATACAAATGCAAAGATCTCTTCATTCCCCCAGCTGCT